ATTTAAAGGAGCTGTTCTTTTGATCTTCTGACTGGGAGAGAGGATGAGCCCAAGTAAGACAGTTACCATTTAATTGTGTGAATGGCTTTACCTCATTGTGTGTACATGAATTCCTTATATCATTTTATATAAGTAAGAAATGGTGATAAAATATTGATGAGAGAAACAAATGGCTCTGAGTTGAATGTTTAATTTCAATGCATAACAGGCAGCTTTCATTACCTCTTGGTTCAAGTCATCATATTTTGGTCCTTTTGGGTTAATCCCATTCCTTAAAAGCAAATGCTAAATACAATAAGACTGAAAATGGGCCCACAGCAACACATTCATAGCAGTGCCATAGGTCAGACTGCACTATTGGATATTGTTTCTGCCAGTTGTGAAAACACAATTATCCATTTGTTGGACATCTTGTACATATAACTGTTCAGCAAATATACGCCTTTGGAATAAAGCAAACTGTGTTGAAAGCACGTAAAATGATGCTTGAAAATGTGTTGGTCAGTCCTTCTCATTTATGCATCAGTACAAAGGATTAGTGCTTTTCATTACATTATTAGGCAACAATAATTAACAATTCATTCACATTAGACAGACCCTGTGTTAAATTAAAACCAGGACTGACAAAGATCCAGGTAAGTCCAAAATGTTACATGTTAATGGAATTGCTGCCTGACTAAAATTATTTTAATCCATTGCTCAATAATTAGCTAAGTGTGGTTCTAGAGTTGGCCATGTTCAAATTTTCTCATCCTGTCACACAAATGAGGAAATACACAGCCAGTATTGCCACACATATGTATCTTTAAGCCATTTCCCCCCTTTATTCTTTCATGGAACTTGAACATCACTAGCAAACCCATCACTTGGTGCCCATTCCTAAATGTCATTGAATGGAGCGGTTGGCAAGGAAATTAAATGTCAACAATTTTACTATACGGCCAGAGACACATATAGGCCAGACCCATTCAGATTTCCTTCTCTCTTGGGTTTTGGTGGACCAGATGGTTTGCAACAATCAAGAATGGTTTTCTGCTCATCATTATGGAGACCAGCTTTTAATTCCAGGATTGTTACCAAAAATTAAATTCCATCAGCTCCCATTTGAACACAAGTGTCTTCCCCTCACTCCCACCCTCCGGTTAGTATGGGCTTCTGGATTACTTGTTCAGTGAGATTAGCACTATGCTACAACCTCTCTAGTGCGCAATGGCACAGTGAGTAAAACTGTAAGCGTTCAATGCTGGAATATGGATTCACAGCAGGTTCAAACTGAATTTAACAAATGTTGCTCTATTTGCATTATATGTGAGATCAATCAGGCAGCTCAGATCTGCCTAAGCATATAGCTACATGACAAAACTGCCCATTCAATTGGCAAAAAAAAACTTCAAATGGGTGATATAGAAATTTGAAAGATCAAAGGTTGGCTTTTTAAATAAAAACTCAGATCTCTCAAGTCTTCCAGAATTTGGCTGATACCTTTATAAACCAAAAAACTGGTTGAAGACTTATTTAAAACCCTTATCCAATAATTTTATTTAAATTGGAACTCAGCAATGTATCAAAGTTACCACACTGTCTGGCTCACTGAGATATTCCATTTTCCCTGAAGGAAAATCATTTGACCATGCCCCAACCCCATTTTGCTTTACAAACTTATTGACATAATTTCAGTGATAATCTTAGTTTGTTGGTAGATTACTTGCCTCTGACCTGGAAGGTTATGGGTTCAAAGCACACTCTAAAGACTTGTGTGTATAATGTGGGCTGACATTTCAGTGCAACGTTGAGGGAGCAGTACTTCATTGTCAAAGGGTCAAATCTTGGATCAGATGTTAAACGAAGATTGCATCTGACCTCTCAGGTGGGCATAAAAGGTCCAATGATACTAGTTAAAGACAGTAGGTTGGTTCTACTGGCAAATAGTAATCCCTCAACTAGCATCACTAATAAAATTATTTGATCATCATTCTCACTGTTGTTTGTGGAAACTTGATGTAAAACAATTGGCTACCATGTTTGCTGTATTGGAGCAGCAGCTACACTTTAGACATATTTTGTTTTTTAAATTTGTTTTGAATATGTGCTAGCAGTCATTGCTGATCTCTAATTGCCCAGAGGGCAGTTAAGTGCCAATGTCGTCACTGACCCGGAGTCACATATAAGTCAGTCCATGTAAGGATGGCACATTTCTTTCCCTAGTGGGTTTTTAATGACAATTAACAGTGGTTACACAGTCACCATTAGACTAACTATTTTGTCGAATTTAAATTTCACCATCTGCTGTGGTAGGATATGAGCCCATATAACCTTAACCTGAGTTGGGGGGAGGGGGTGACTTACTGTTCTGGATTACTAGTCCAGTTGCACTACCTCTTCATCACCATCTCACCATTTCGTTAGCTGTGACACACTATGGGATATCTTGAGATAATGAAAAGTGGTCTTTAAATGAAAATTCTTTCTCTTTACTTTACAAGGATAGATACTGACATTGCACAATATTGTTAAATGGGCGACAGTGAACTAGTACCCAGCATTACAACTCTTGTTATTTTTATTTCCAATTGGTCAAAGGACTATTGTCTTTTACACCACCGGGAAAGGTTGAGATCTGCACCACCGTCAGAATATCCCAGATGTAGGCTAAATTCCTCCCAATCATGATGCATTGCTTTGGAATATCATTCCTTATATTTCCCTTTTTACCTTCTTTTTTATTTTTGGAATTACTCTATGCGACTTGAATTGGATGAATAGTATTTTTAAAACGCCTTCAGAAAAGATGACTTTACTCTTGAACGTTATAAACATTTGCAAAAAGAAATCTGCTACACGAAGCATATGCCAAATTTAAAAGCTATGTTAGTTCAAGAATTGATGTTTCCAACTTTATAATAGTGAGTAATCTTCCAAGTAATTAATTCACATACGGTTGATGTCCTGTGTTCATAAAAGACGTTTAACAGTTAGTGTTCTGTTCATTTAGAGAACAGCTTTGATACATCTTGAACATTGTATTATATTTTGATATTGGATGTAGGGATGTGCAAATCCTCCTTTGATTTCGGTTCTGTTTCCTTCGTCTTAACTTTTTTTTGCCTCTCCCTTCTTTCTAGTCTCATCCAAGGTATACATCTCTGACAAAAAAAACAGCCAGGTGGCTCATCTCTTCCTGGACTCGTGCTCGTAATAATCTGCAACCAACCAGAAGGAAGTATGGTAGCAGGTATTTTCACCTCACCCCACACAAATTCTGCCTGAGAAATGTTTCCGCCCAGTTCTTGAGTGGGAGTCGGTGACTCCTTTATAATCGATCAGTTTCCTTCAGGTTAGGCTGCTCAACTGGTAGAAATAGGTGGGACATACATGATACATATTTCACCCTTTTGCACGGGAAAAACTATTTGCATCACTTAGCACTGTCCGGCAGGAAGCAGGCAGCTGGACTGTGAGCCATTTGTAGGCTCACCCGGTTATTACATCGTGAGGGTGATGGAAGTCTGGAGGGTAATCGAGGTGCCTCCTCCCCCAGCCTGGATTCCGAGTAAAATATAACAAGGAACTGTGGGTGCTGAAGCTATGAAACAAACAAAAACAGAAAATAAGTTTCTCCAGCAATTTCTGTTTACGTTTCTAGCTTTCCAGTCCCTGGCCGCCCCTTTTTCAGTTGAAAATTATCCCCCAGACTTTAATCAGAGAGAAACTCTGAATCAAGTGTTCCGACAGCAGTGGCACCGTCGAGCTATGTTGAAAACGAGAACAGGCATATATGGGCAAAACAAACAAGAGGAGACTACCGGTCAACATTGAGTCAGAGATAGTAGGAACTGCAGATGCTGGAGAATCCGAGACAACAAGGTGCTGAGCTGGATGAACATAGCAGGCCAAGCAGCATCATGATGCTGCTTGGCCTGCTGTGTTCATCCAGCTCTGCACCTTGTTGTACCGGTCAACATTGATTTTTTGGATGGGGTGTGTGGCTTTTAAACGGGTATGTCTCAGCAGCGTGTCAACCTTTTTATCAGTATCTGGCGTGGTCCAGTCCATAATGTTACTGGGAATGGAGTTTGAAGGTGGTATAAAGTTGGGCGTGAGCTGGAATTAACGTCAACACAAATGTCATCAGTCACAAGAAAGTCCCAGCAGCCCCTTAATCAAGGTGTAGAGCTGGATGAACACAGCAGGCCAAGCAGCATCATAGGAGCAGGAAAGCTTGACGTTTCGGGCCTAGACCCTTCATCAGAAATGGGGGAGGGGAAGGGGGTTCTGAAATAAATAGGGAGAGAGGGGGAGGCGGATAGAAGATAGTTCCTACTATCTCTGATACAATTTTAGCCCCTGAATCAGTCAGATTTCTTTTTCCTTACAGATACTGACTGTCCTACTGTGAATTAGCCGTATTCTTCAATTTTATTTCGATTTCCCAGCATTTGCCTATTTTTTTGTTCAGCGGATTCGTCCCTCTCGGATTCTGTCAAAATCCAATAAATACCCCGTAAATCTCCTGACGTTGACAGATATATTATTAATCAAAGTTGTTTGTTGCTAATTTGTGAAACCCTAAAAGCCTCGATTCCCTCCTTAATCTGTACAATTGCTTATATTACAACTGGAACGTCTTCCCGGATCACATCATCATTTTAAAGTAAACCGGCAATAAATAGCCGCTGTCTAGAAGACAGGGCAAATATAATGAGGCCCAGACGTTCCTCTCCAGGTTGGTTTGTAATGGCAGAAGGACACACGTTCGCCCGAAACCGGAACAAAGGCATCTTAAGAGTTAATGGGATCGCTGTATGGAGGGACTGGAGGAAAAGCAGAGCGCATACTGTAATTGGATGCGTGAAGCTTTGGTCACGGGTGTGTATGGGGAGGTTGAGGGGGAGGAGGTTGAACCACGTTTCAAACAAGGGAAGCGGATCTGATTTAAACGAGAGCAACTCCGCCGCCGAGATTGGGCTAAAGCGCCTCTCTCTCTCTGTGTGTCAGTGGAGTGAGTGGCAGAGCCAGCCCAGGAGCAGCTGATTGGGCAGTGAGCCTGGAATAGGCCGGCCCTGCAGTAACCACATCCATTGAATGGCTACTCCAGTGACTCCTCTCCGCCCTTCAGAACTTCTTCGATTTCCAGCCTCTCCCGCCACAACCTCTTCTCTGTGTCTCCCCCTACCCCCACTCTCTCTCTCTCACGCACATACACAGAACCCTGATGGGTAATAAACAGCAGCCAGAGGCTGGATGCAATCTGGAAATTACAAGGTTGTTGGGGGGTGGGGGGAATCCCTGTGGCCGGCAGAGCTTTCTGAAATATTAACATTTTCAGGAGGCACGGAGTATGGGCTAATCTATGTGACGTACGTGCAGCAACCTTTGGCCCCCCCTTTTTTAAAAACAATTCTCCCCCCTCACCAAGTTATAACTTTATTTATGAGGGCAGTTGTGGTGGGCTGCTGGCTGCAATTTTCACAAAGTGATTGAAGTCTTTTCTCGTCCGGGGTAGGGAGCATCAAGTTCACCACAACATGGAAACTCCACGTGTTCGCCAGAACTCTGCAAAATGCGTTCTGGTGAAGTGTGGGATTACGTCTGAACATCACCCAGTTCCAAAAAGAAAACTATCCTCACCGGAAAGGAGATTGCTGAAGGACAAAGTTTAAAGGAGAAAAGAAGAGGAGCCGTTGCTCGGATTTGAACGGAAAAAAAATAAGATGGCTTTTTTTTCTTATTTTCTAAACGTGCAAATAGACGGAAGGCAGCTGGAAGGTGGTGGCCCAAGACTGGGAGGATTCTGCAAAAGCTGGAGGAGAAGGAACGAGTGGGTTGAAGAATCGTGAAAATAAGTCGGACGTGCTGTGAATTGAATGTTGATTTTTAAAAAAGGAACCACTCGAGGTGAAAATGTGACTATGGTGAAATGCGGTTAAAATCCGGCAAAAAAGTGAGAAAATGGAAGGTAACACTCCTCCATTGTCCTTCTTCCAAAACCGCAGCAGCTACCTTGTTGATAAAGGCGCTAGAGCCGAGTTCACTGGGCACGCCGCCTCACTAACACCGCTTCTGCTTTAGAACAAAAGAGCACATGGCATTACAAGGAGAGGCACAGAGACCTCGTTTAATCAAACCATCAAAACCTTGTTTATTTTTGACGCAGTGCATTATTCATGTTAAAATAACGTAGTTAATTAAGACAGGGTGGAGGAAATCAACTTTAAAACTTGGGGATATATGAGAAAGTAGTTTGTTCGCTCTCTGGATGACGAGACGGGTAACTTTGAAGTGAAATCGGATCTATTGATGTAATACTTCAAACCGAAAAGGTTGCTAGATTCCTCTGCCTTTATAGCGCCGTTTACAATTGTTAAAGGGCTATAAAATATAAAATCCCTACATTAATCGGTACTGATACTATCTTCGGGGTTTTATTCTGCGCCCGCCATGTGTTTGGAACCGTGTAAAAACATGTCTAACACAAACATTATAATGAAGCTCCATGTCTGTGATAATGCCTGTATAATTTATTTGGGAAACGTGTTTTCTCCCTACGGTGATTCATAGTACATAGAGATCATTCATAGGGCGTTGAGATATCTTTCTGCTCCGTTTGAATGCTGAGTTGGTCTTCCAATGGTTTTAACGTTGCAATTCTACCCGGTTTGTAGCACATATTGTGGGACTGCAAGTACGGAGGGATATTCTTTCTTTTGAGTTGGTTTTGACTATTTCGTACGAATTTAAATTCCCAGCAAAACAAATTTAACTGGAGCATCGTGGATCAGAAGGAGAACTCTCTCTGGAGTTACGAGCACGTTCCAAATACACATTTTAAAGTAATAACATTTCAGTAAATCTTAAACGTTAAAGTTTATATTTTATCGCGTTCTGTGCCATAGCTCAAACATGACTTGCGTAATATAATTGGAAACATTTGCCGATTTGAGTTTTCACTGAATTGAAAGTCGTTCAAACCTTTGATTTTTTTTTTCATCGAGTTTTCCAGTCAAATGTCTCGTTTCCGATCAATTGATATTTGGATTACAATTTGCAAAGGAAACTGCAATAAAATCCCAATTGGCAAGTGTAATCATGTTAAAAAATGGAGCATCAGGTAGATAAAATAATGCTGTATTCATTTAATGTTCAGGATTTTAAATTCGCGTTGTTAAAATGATACACTAAAGATTATGAACACTAGCAACGCCAAGTCAAACCTTGATTTTTGCAGTTGCCGAGTTTAATTTTTTAGATTTCGACTGAAGATGACCGAGTCTTGACAAAATCGATTGAGTAAAAGGTTAGTTAGTTTCAGGGTGTTAAAGAGCTTTCGATTCTCTCAAACAATCCGTATTAAAGTTTTATTTCACTGCTTGAAATCCAGAACTGGTGTCCTGGCTCACATGGCGAACTTGTGTATTTAGAAATTTCAGAAGTGCTCACAGCCGTATATTCTGTTACAACAGTTTAGAAATGTAGCAAGAGGTTACATTTTAATATATTTTAAAATGTCTTCTGAGCATTATCAAAAGTTGTGGCTCGTGTCTTTTAAAGATAAATGCAGCCATTTTGGTTGCTGTTGGTCTTGATTGTGTTCTATTCTGCTCTCAAACGCCCCTTTGTACACAACCTTATTTTCTAATAGGTTTTGTTACAAGATCTACTAAAATTGGCGTTAAGGCTTTTTAAACGTCTGCTTTATGTGAGGGGCGGTCAGATTGCGCCTTTATTTTTTTTAAACTGTTCGGAATGCAATCCACTTGGGCGAATTATACCACACGCTTTTTGACACCAGATGGACTGATGAATGGCGGCGTAATTTAAAATCAAAACTGCAATTCGATTGAGCCTTTCTTTAAAAAAAAGCAAATGATGAATATGCTTGCTTGAGCCGTTTAGTGCAAAGTGTGCGCCCAGCATTGAGAACACAAACCCACCCATTAACTTTTCATATAAAAACAAGAGCTATTTTTAAGCTCCTTTTCATGGAACTTCTGGCATATTAGGAAGCGCGTGTGACACTACCTCCTGAGAGGAAGCACAGTGTTGGGGCTATTTGAGCCGGCAGGAGGAATCGCAACATTGCGAACGATTAATGGTTATCAGTATGGGGTTTAATATTCTGCTCCGCGTTCATTTTGACCTGGCAGCTCAAACCTATTATCTTGAATGTGTATGTCCCAGCATTTAAGGATTTAGATCTGCGATTGTAGCGAATATCTCAGCGCAGGCAACCTGAATAGTTAATTAACTAAAGTTGAACGGAATATATCAAACCACCTCTTTAGTTCAGACTGAGAAACAGATTCTGGGCCTTACATTTTTTGGTGTTGTCAAGAGGCGCTGAATTCCAAGTAAGCCTGTTCTGCTTGGAATCGGTTTTGATATTATTCCCCATGTCAGGGCTCATGGATGGAACTTGGCCGATGGTGAAAGATTTTGGGACGTAGTGTTTTAAACCACAACGGGAGAAAGCCTTTGACTTTTTTTTAAGCATGTCTCAACACGAAAGAGGTGGATGGGTTTGTCTGAAACTTTATGCACGCAGCAGGCACATTGTTTTTTCAGGCCGTCACACATTGGGTGTATGTGACATTCTTCGCACCAATTCCACCCCCCACCCCCCCAACCCCCGGCTTTGAAACACCGGCGATTTCGAGCCAAAGCGAGAAACAAAAACCCATTCTAAATAGTGCCGCTTCTCTCCTTCATTCATCCAGTTCTGACAATTTCTTTTATGATTTAGGAAGCCCAGACCTGACCACGGGATGAATTGCGGGCAAAGGCTCACCAGGCTACATAAAAGATGGAGAACTTCTGTAACTGCCCTTAAACACGTACAAACCACTATTAAATCCGGAGGTTGTTCACTGTTAGCTACACCGCGTTCACACGGTTTAAAACAAGAATGGAGACTGTCTTGACAATATGCGGACTCGTACACGTTGCTGCAGGAATCTTGTCTTCACCCTGATTACTGTATATCTAATTTGTTATTGCTGTTAATGTATAGTTATGACTGATAATATACATATATATATACTTTTTAAAAAGCAAGGTCTTTTTATCTTTATTTTTGCAAGTTAACTTTGGGTGGAAAACACGTTTTGAAAAGGCCTAAGATTAATGACAAAGCTGACACTGCACACAACAAAACCAACATTTTTATTTCCTTTTCAACGAATGTTCAACCAAACTTTTCCCAGGCCAGAAGACGGCCGGTATATTCCCAAAACGCTGAGTTTTCAAAAAAAAACACAGGATGTTATTGGGGACTTTGTAGGAATCACACCAATTCAGAACATATCACCTTTACATGTCCCATCCACAGCGATGAAACTAGATTTAACAGCAACGTTCGTTTTAGCTTTTTTTTTTAAGAAAAGGTTTCCTTGGTACAGATGTGTTTGGATTTCTGTTTGCTATTTGTACAAATGGTTTATTTTATAGAATGCAAATTTAAAGGAGTGATGAGCTCAATTTCTGTGGTTGACATTTTATCTAATTCTGAAAACCACAAATGGCCATGATTTTCTGCCCCTGCCTTAGGACGGTTAAAGAGCCTGTTTACATTGCAAAGCTGAAAGGCTCCAAAATTAAAAGGTCAATTGAAATTATTTTTCATTGTTCATCAGTCAAATGCTCAATATCTGTGCCTTTTTTTTGAAGCACGTAAGCAATTTTCAGTTGAGTGCCCTGACAGTAGCGGGTTGACTTTGAAGAGAGGACGCTTCGTAGATGACATGCTGATCGTTCCGAAACTGCTGTCTGCATTGCCCGGTGCTGCAATACCTCTGAGGAGGGAACGAGCACTTTATATTCGGGGCTGGGGGGAAATCAAATTAAGTGCGACTCCTAGGAAGCAGCGGCAGCCCCTGATTTCCACCTCTCCGCTCTCACAGTGCCAAGATCGGCTGTTTTGCTGTGTTATTGGAAGGTTTCTTTTTTTTCCCCTGAACCCGCACTGGGTTGTGAGCTGCTCATTTCCTGCTCTCTTTAGCGGCCGAACCGAGAGTCGGCGGCAACCGCTCCAAACTCTTTCGGCCGCCAATTGAAGGAGAAAAGCGCAAGGAAAGAGAGGAAAATCCCATCCTCTCCCGCAAGGATTTCTAAAAGCCTCTCCCGCTCTCACCGCGATTAAAAGCAAAATCAGTCGGCGGCTTTGTGGACATTTATGACGAGCAATTAAAGCCATATCGTTCCAGTCTGCAATTGTAAACCAGACTGACAAACCATCTGAAGCTAGGCCCCGTTTAAAATTTAGCTCACCTCGTTTAACACCATTTATCTTCAATTCACTTTATACACCTGCAACGAAGCAATCGTTACTAGCGAGATGTTTGACTATGAAAATGATTTTCAATTAAATTAAAAATAGCTTTAAAAGGTTAAAATGTTTTACGTTAATCGAGAGGTTTTAGACAACGTAAACTGAACGACTCCAGTGTTGCTTTCTCCCAGAGAAGTGAGATTAGTTTCACGGTGGACAGTGTAACGAGCTAGTTTCTCATTGGACAGTGTAACTAGTAAGTTTCACAGTGCACAATGTAACCGATTAATTTCACAGTCGATAATGTAACCGGTTAGTTTCACAGTGGACAGTATAACAGTTTTACCCTGGACAGTGCAACCGGTTAATTTCACAGTGGGCAGTGTAACCGGTTAAGTTCTCAGTGGACAGCGTAACTAGTACGTTTCACAGTGCACAATGTAACCAGTTAGTTTCACAGTGGATAGTGTAATCGGTTAATTTCACAGTGCGCAATATAACCAGTTAATTTCACAGCGGACAGTGTAAGCAGTTAGTTTCTCAGTGGATAGCGTAACTAGTAAGTTTCATAGTGCACAATGTAACCAGTTAGTTTCACAGTGGATAGAGTAACCAATTAGTGGATATAACATTGAGGTTCCGTCATGTTATTTCAGAGAGGTGGCAAATGCCCGATAGCATTAAAAAGAAAACAACGAAAAAGGTAAATGCCAACGACATACATTGAAGCGTGACTCCAGTTGTATTTTAAGAAACCTCTGCCTCTCAATATCTGCTGTATTACATGTCGGGGTATCGCAACGCTTTGCAGAAGTCGCTGATAGTTGGCTGCTCATTCAAATGTAACCTGAGCGAAATTCGATTAAAGTCTCAACTTGTTCCTTACACAGCCTATCGGGATAGCGTCTCCCAGAATCGGTGAAGACATAATGCTGGTGCACCTGGTTTACCCATGTTACACCCATCTTAATTTTAACGATGGCAAATTATAAAGATCATTGCGTACAAGTGATATATTGAACCAAGGGCCTGAGTAAATAGGTTAGAGCAATGGGGTGCCGCCTTCAAATGAAGAGCCAGTTTTCTTGCAAATATTTACATTGAAGACAGTATTACTGGTGAAGAGAAAATGAATAATCCGTCTAACATGCCAGGGGTATTTTGACATTCGACTGAACACTGGCGTTATACAAGTGCTGGTCAATACAACGGTGGGTGATTAGTCCCGGCGCAATTTCCTACCGGGTGGAACGTGATAATTAAAGTAATATGGATTTAAAACTTTTGTTGAGGAAACAGTTGGATGAAGTTGACTTTCAGATCTTATACGGTATTACGTCCAGATTGATTGCTATACAGTTTACTTAAAGGGGCTGACATTTACTTTTTAAAAAATGGGTGGTTTACTTCGTCAACATTTGCGCAAGTAAAAAAAGTCATGACAACAACACAGACTCACACAGAGCGTGGAAGAGAAAATAGAAAACAGATGGTGAATAGGGGAGCTGTGGATGGGATGAGTTGATAAATGAGTCCTAATTTTAAGTGTTGGCCTCGATCGAATAACCATAAGGAAAGCTACAATACAGAAAGGTAACACCGTTTTAATAATAGAAAATTGCACATCCACAGCAAATAACCAGAATTATATCCAATCTGACCTGTAATGAACTTGTAGCAGGAATGTAATATTTAACAGCATGAATCCTTTTAGAAACACAGTTTTAAAATAAAGGCTTTACAAAGCCAATATCCTACTAATCACTGGATAATTATGTTTTTATTGGTGTGTTTGATAGATTTTTGTGGTGTTTTTATTCAATCAAATGAAAAACAATTTCATCGTCTACAGAGGAAAACTGTATTAGCCTGCAAAAAAAACGAGAGTCACAGTCCTACAGAAAACAAAGTGTAGAATTAACCTAATAATAAAAGCTTGGTGATAAAGCACAGAACAATTTTGAAATATTTTGGCATGGAATTGATTTCTTTTGAAACACTTCATTTGGTGACTGGAACAGGATTGGACTCCATGAGATAACATGCCTTGGGTGTGATCATGGCCTCCCAGCTATAAAGCTGGAGAGCCCTACACACACCCCAAAGTTTTGCAAGTTTAATCATCCGTCCTTCATACCGGCCTGCTCCCATTGGGCGAGTTTGTACAATGCTTGCCTTTACTTGATAGAGCCCTATTCCTCCCAAGTGCATCTCCTGTTTGCTGATCTAACATAAACACTCGAAGTCTCAGAGCAGAAATCTCTGCAGCAAGAGAATTGTGTGAGGTAAACTGGTCTAAATATATTAATACGAGCAGTGTTTACAAAGAACTGACGCATTCAAACATATTGTTCTAATATGAGGCAAACATGGGATAGATCCAGATATTCTTTTGGATTATTTTCTGTACCACTTTTACTGAATGTTTTGAAGGTGCTGACTCATTCTGTTTAAAAAAAACCTCAAAGAACTGTGGATGCTGGAAATGCAACAAAAATAAAAACAGAAATTGCTGAAGAAACTCAGCAGGTCTGGCAGTATCTGTAGAGAGAAAGCAGAGTTTTGGGTCCAGTGACCTTTCTTCAGAATTCTGATAATCCTACCTCACCTGCATGGGACTCTTTCCTGTGTGTTAAGGCACAGTAAACAAAGAAAGTATAAGATTCCACAGGGCAGCCTATCAGTAGGGTTGGTTATCTTGGTTAGCTGGATTGTTGGCTTGTAATGCTGAGTAATGCAATGGCATGGGTTCAATCCCTACACCAGATGAGATGACCATGAAGGTCTCTTTGTGCCTGAGGTGTGGTGACCCTCAAATTAAATAAATACCAGTTGTGTGTGTGTCTCTCATGGGGGAGCAGCCTTATTGTCTGGTAAAACAATGGTGGCTTTTAGTAAGCAGTCATGCTCAACTCTGTCTTTCTTTAATATTTCTGTAAATTCTCATATAATCCACCAATAACAATCAGAACCTTTATCTAATTTAGTTCCCCAACATTTGCTTTTGAGCGCTGAGGCCGATGCAGTCATCTACAACTAATTGAGATCAGTTAATAGAAGACAGGGATAGAACTTGGGATTTTACCACACTGTATGGCTTTGCTCCACATGTTATTTTACAAATTAGGTCAAGAAAGGACAGGGGATTATATTTTGGCTCCTTTCATGAAGCTGTGATATTTCATGTGGCCTGAACCAGTAGAAGAAACTCATTCATGCATGCAGTTGGAACAGGAAATGTTCGTAATTCTTTTGGAAATGTTTTCTCCCCTCCTTGTTCTGAAGACATTGGCTCCTCGCTGTGGTTCAAAAGAGACTTGGCACATTCCAACACCTTGTTCAAGTGGTCACTCTTTTCAAGTCAGACACAACAAAAAAAAAATGCAAGACATGAGATTATATTGGGTTTTTCATGACCACTGGATGCCTCAAAATACTTTATAGCCTATGAAATACATTTTTAAGTTGTAGTCACTGTTTTAAGTAGGAAATAAAGCAGTTCAGTTTGCACCCAGCAAACTCACACAAATATCAATGTGTTAGCGACTAGATAATCTATCTTCTAATGTTGACTGTGGAATAAATATTAGCTAGGACATTAGAGATAACAGCCTTGCTTTGAAATATTGCGGTGCAATGTCTTACATCCAGCCAAGCAGGCAGACAAGGCCTTAATTTAACATATCACCTGCAAGGGCAGTGTTCCCTCAGCTCTGCACTGGGAGCAGTAGCTTCCATTTTAGTCCTTGATTGGACTTGAACCCAATATCTTATGG